CACCACCATTTGGGGAACACTGTTCTAATTCAAGGGAAACTTACCAATGGGATGAAGAAAAATGAAAAGATGGCAGCCAAAAAGCTCAGTGTTGGCCCTCCCAGGATAATCTTTAAGATACGGTATTTATAAAATGCCTTGTTTTCAGATTCCTGTATCTGATGATTCAGTAAATACGAATGTTTGAAGCCATATAATACAATGATTGCCTGCAAAATGAGAAAATATTGCTGCACTGTAGGAGAGCAAGGAGTTGTTCGGATATAAATTCAAATCATAGTTTGGGTGTTTAGAAAAGTTGCCTTGATTTCTAATAGAGGTATGCAACACTTTGGATCTGAAGCTGGAAAGGCGCTTTGGAGCTGGTTTAGACATACATACCACACCTTTTCATACCTCCTTAAAGAAGCCATATACTGTACTTTTCTGGCTTACAGAGCAGCTGTGTGCCCACTCATGTCAAAACACCTTACTGTAGCATCCTTAACTTAAACTTGCATTTTCTTGGGTTCCTGCAGCTACTATATGAGAACAGAAAGGGATGCAGCTTTTTAAAGGAGGCATTAACAGGTGTTGTGTGCATACTGATGACCACTCAGAAGCACTTTTCTCAGCTGTGGATCCAAAGCACAGCACAGCACAGCTCTAATTCATCTGCTTCTTATTCCCATTCCATTCTCCCACTACATGCTCAGTCTTGAAAATCTCAATCTGCAACAAATCATAGTTGCAATTTTATCTAGACATGCAAATTCTGGTTTATGCTATCTTGTAAACCTGGATTTCAAACCTGAAAGCACAAGACAATGTAATCCCCATAAGTCTTACTGGCCAATGACAGAAGAGAATTTGTTTTCTTCCCAGGGAGAGTTAAGATGAACACATTCTCTCACAAAGGGAAATAGTGTCAATGTTGTAATTACTACCCATCTCATTTACAATAGGGTTTATTAAAATACACAGTTCTGAAATATAAAGTAACTATACCTGGATAACACCAATTACAACAGCACAGCTACTAAACATAAAAATGCCAAACGGTATGTCAGGAAAAGAGGCCATTAAGGAGAACTGCAAAATAAGAAATTAGATCACTTCTGTGTTTCAGTACAAATTAAGCAAAGTGGTTAACCTGAGGTCCTAGGACTAAATTTGTCTCCCAGAAGCCCTTTTGTGATTCTCCATGCCCTGTTCCAAATCAAACTGGAAAATGGGTGGCAGGAGTTGCTGTCACTTTGAGACAGAAAATGTATACACATTGTAGCGTGAGCCCTATAATTTTTAAACATCGAAGAAAAAATCCCAATTTCCGTCCCAAACATAGGGAGTACAAAAAATTGTAGCACTGTCCACACCTCTTGATTCAGATCCACCCATTTTACTTCATCTGCACTAGCCTCCTACTTATGGAGTATTCTCCACCGAGAAATATGTGCAGCCTCCATCTTGCTGCAATTTTGGAAATAGTTTAAAGCTCTTCTGTTGCAATTTGCTTTTGATCCCGGATGATTAACTGTGGGTGCCTCTTTGGGTTTTATTTGGGGTTTTATCTTTGCTTTCTATGGTTATTTTCTGTTTTAGATCCCACTCTGGATTTAATTATTTATTACTCTGCTTCTATGTTTTCTTTTTGTTCGATGATGGACACTGCCCAAAGTCCTATCAGATCAAATCAGGTAATATGTATACTTAAATACATACATACATACAGTGGGGCAAAAAAGTATTTAGTCAGCCACCAATTGTGCAAGTTCTCCCACTT